GGTTCGTGAAACGAAATTGCCAGAAGTTTAGCTTTAACAGTGTAAATGAGTCGTTCTACTACTCCGTTGGATCTGTGATCCCCAACAAAACATAAAATTAATTTGATATTGTTCTTCTCGCAGAAGTTTCTAAAATCGATAGAAGTAAAACATGACCCATGGTCGGCTCTAATAGATTTTGGAAATCCGTGAAGGTGGCAATAATCTGTCATGACAGATAAAATTGAAGAAGCCGAGGTGTTGTTCACTACTTTTGCTGACGGGAACTTTGAGAAGCGGTCGATGCATAGCAAAAGTTATTTCGAGTTACCCCAATTTTTGTCCAATGAACCCGCAAAGTCTAAATCTACTTCTTCGTTTGGTTTAGTCAGAATCGGTAATTTCTCCGTATTATTCGTCCCTAGTATCATTTTTAGGTTCTTACCGGCCTTGTTGCACTGGATGCAATTTTTCCCGTGATAGTAAATCTCCCGGTTTAGATGTGGCCACCAAATGTTCTCTGCCAAGGATTTCATCCTGAACTGTCCTGGGTGTTTTTTATGCAGTAATGACAGGAATGGCGATCTTAGAGCTGCTCGTATTATCAATTTGTTATCGTTAAATAACAATCCTTCTTTAACGTGAATGTCTCTCTGAAAGTTCTTTTGGTAGGCTCCGAATTTATCCAGTGGTCTGCCTTCCTCTACTGCCTTCTTCACCTCCTTTAGGATTTTGTCTCTTCCGACATCAGTTTTATTAGCTTGTTTGAGCAATGATCTGTAAGGGATAGCGGAGTGTCTGGTAATTTGAGATCTGCATTGTATTTGGCCAGTAGTTTCTTGTGTAAATCTGACATTGTATTGTTATTGATGTTCAACGAAATTCCTTTTTTTTCTGCCCTGAGGGAAAATTTTAGCAAGTTAACCGATGTAATGATTTCTTGTAACTGTTTTTTTTTTATCTGAACGACTGATTAATTGAAAGTATTGACTGGGCAAGAAAAAATAAAAAGATTTTATCTGATAAATCAAAATAATTGAAATCAAACTTTGATAAATTTAGTGGAACGCAACCGCTTGTACAAGACTCTGAACGTGAGTGATTGGAATTACAAATTATAACTGTGTCGTTTACGTAGTTCAGAATATTCGAGAAGAACGACCGTTGGATGCTAAGCGATAATTCTTTCTTTCCGCCCATTTGATTATTACAATCCAAGTTACTGATCGTGTTTACATCCACTGGATTATACAATTCGTTCTTTTTATAAATATTCTTTTTACAATCACTATTTACAGAGAGGTTTTCTACAATCTTTTGTACTGTAGCAACAACAAATTCGCTATCATAGTGAGAGGTTGGGAGTGCTTTTCCTGAAGGTAATCTCGACAATAAATCTGTAAATCCCATTTCTTTTCCCGGTATGTGTTTGATCTTGAAATTAAATGGTAAAAGTCGGTTTACCCAACGGGTTAGTCTGCTGTGCATAGTTTTGTTACTCTGATATGCATTTAGTGCTGAAAGCAATGCCTTATGGTCCGTTACGATTTCGAAGTCAGCACCATACAAGTAATTTTTAAAATGCTCCATCGCCCAGACTTCTCCCAACAATTCAAGTTCATTAGTCAAATATTTACTTTCATGATTATTTAAAAATCGGGATGCAAATGCTTTTGTTAACCAATTCTCCCCATCCCATTGTTCTAGGGTGGCTCCCAGACTGCTATGAGAAGCGTCTGTCTTAAGTCTTGACATCCTTTTTATGTCAAAATGGTTGTTCTCTGTGATGTTAACTATCTGTTGTTTTAGTTCTTCAAACGCCTTCGTATGCTAGTCGTTCCATTGGTACACTGATTTCTTTACGAGAAGTGGTCGGAAGGGGGAACTGATAGATGACAAGTTCGGGACGAATTTCATATACTGATTGATTGATCCAAAGAATGACCTTGGTTCGGAAATGTTTTTTAGATTTGGTAGACTTTTATCGAACCTGATTTTCCTACCAGTGGTTATACGCCCGAATTCGATATCTTGAAACCCAGCCAATCTATTTCTTTTTGGAAAAATGCACATTTCTCCCATTTTACGGCCATATTCTTGTTGTCCAAAATGTTTAAAATTTTTGATAATATCGCTTTGTGTTCATTTAATGATCCTTTCGAAGCTATTAAAATGTCGTCTATATAACAATTAGTAAAAGGAATGTCTTTTAATAAAGAAACCATCACCCTCTGGAACTCGTTTGGCATATCACCCAGTCCGTAAAATCCCGTTAAAAATCTATAGGTCCCGGTGGTTTCGCCACCCACAATACTAAAGTTACACTGTTTGCTGGTGTCTGTACATAATTGAAGTTGACTTTACGCATTCTTTAGATCTAGACTACTAAACCAAACTTCTCCTGACTCTTTACTTGACAGTTGGAGCCCTATGTTGTCTATCAGTTCATGTTTGTTTGGCATTTGATATTTGTTCTTGAATATCTGGTTATTGAATAGTTTCGAGTCTAATGCCAACTTGATGCTACCTACTTTTTTTCTTGTGGTCACTATTGGACTTATGAAACCAACTTCACAGCATTTGTTTAGCTTCACAATATGCCCATCTTTTTCGATTCTATTTAGTTCCATCTTTACGTTATCTAGTAAATGCAGGGGAACTCTTCTACCTTTGGTTTGGATAGGTTTGAATGGAGAGTGAAAATGTTTAATTTTTCTGTCCAATGGTTTTTTCCCAACTCTGTTAAATAATCCTTTGTACTTATGATACAGATTAAGGATTGTGTCTGAATTACTGTTTAACTTACACAACTCTGGGCGTGATAGTTTGTTGACGGGTAGTAGAGGCTGTCGTTGAGCTATCTCGATTCCAATTCTCGGTAGGTTGTCGTTTCCCAGGATGTTCCTCTCATGTCCAGAAGTAATAAAATTGGGGTTTCGTCCGCGATCCATCCATTGGATTGTAATCTTACTATCACTTTCCCGATGATGTTGATTGTGTCGTTGGTAAACCCGCAGTATAGTTCCCTTGTTTTCTTCTCTACTGGGTGTATTTTCAATTGTGGACTTCTCAACTTCAATTCGTGTAAGACGTTTTGCTTCAGGAAGCTCTCTGGGCTTGCAGAATTCACTGGAATGTTCAAATTAACTATCGCATCGTCTCCCAGTCCGATGTTGACTAATTTCTTGGTTTCCAAGCCATTGGTATCGTATATTGTTCTGATGTTAAGAACAGAGTAGTCATCGTTGTCGCTTATTTCCTCTTCGGTCCACGCGTTGATCACTCCGCAAAAATTCTCATCGCTTCTTGCTTGAAGGTCTTCTGGGGAATATGAACAACTCTGACTATTTACAGATTCATCTACAGTATTTACAGCGGTTTTTCTTCCTTTCGATTTACATAGTCTTCCAAAATGTCCTTTATATTTACAGATATTACAAACATTTTTTTTTTCGCCGGACACACATTCAGATGACCCTTGGTAAACGCATTCCCGCATTTCATACAAGTATTTGATCTTTCAATGTTCAGGCTTGGTTCCTTTTTTACATTATTAAAATTTTTGTAAACTCTACCGCTACTTCCTGTCGTGTTGAATGATCTAGTCATATTTGTTAGTTTCAGGTGTTTATAGTATCCTTTTTCGTCGATGATCGATTAGTTGAGTGCATCCATTGGATTGAGGGTTTCCGAGAGTAGTCTACGTTGTAAGTCACAATTTTTCATGTTAAAAATAAATACGTCTCTAATCCACTCCTGTTCTGCATTGATTCCAATTTCACACGATCTTGCTAAATCTGATAATGCGCCAAAAAATTGTTCGTAGGATTCTCTAACCTTTTGTTACCTGCTCAATAGTTTGTATCGCTCAAACGTTATATTAGCTGGTTTGATAAAAGCCGATTCTAGCAGTTCGTAAAGTTCTTTGAATAAGATTCCTAGGACTTTTACCCTTGGACGTTTTTGGGCGAAAACTCTTTTTCCTTCCGCTCCTAGGGCCAAGTACAGAATTGATATCTTACTTTTTTGTCGGCCTCATATCTCCTCATTCCTCTGAACTTCCATTTCTCTTCTGCTAGTATTTTCTCTTCTGCGTGTTCGTAGACTCGCATTACTTCTTTATTCCTGGCCTCCCTAGCTTTCCTCTGTTGGTCAGTTTCTGACTCCTGGGCACCTTCTAGGATCGGTAACGTCGTCTCCCCTTCCACTGGTTCTTTAAGATTATCTATGTCTAGATTTTCCTTCGCAATGATAGCCAGGTGGAATTGGTCTATCCAGTTGTTCCAATGGGTGGGAGGTTCTACCGTGTGGTTCGGCTAAAAGGCGGGTATTCCCCGCAGGTTCGAATCAGTAGTTGACTGCGCCATAATAAAAGTATAGGTTTACCACTGGTAACTAAGATATCTAACTAAGATTAAAACAGAATAAAAGTAATGTGTGAATTAAAACTAACTATAGTCTAAAAAGAGCAACTAGTGACTCGAAGTCTAATGGACTTCGTTGAGTGAACATTAACTGGTACATTATTAAACATTAAAGGTCAAGGTTACAACATACTAAAATACTAAATCACAACAGTAAGCATGCTCTTCCAGAAGCGGCTTTTTTAGTTTTTTTGCCGGTTTTGTTGATTTTTCAGTGATCAATTTGATTTGCCACGTCAACAGAACAGAAATGATCAAACATCCAAAATTTTAAAACCCAGAGATATCATTAGGAAAATTTCGGTACCAAAACGACCTTTCCTTGTGCCAAAGAGATCCATAACTCCATAAAAATTTACGAAATTACGGATCGCCCTGGCACAAGACACTGTAATTATTTTGAATCAGGGTCAACGTTACTGATGTGAATAAAATTTAGGTTTCGCACGCACGTTGCTGAACAGTAGAAAATATACAAAGAAACTTCTGAATGAACAATTTTGCACCATTGATATTAAAACTGCATTTATCTCCGTTTTTTTGTCTTAAAAATGTGTCTTTTTATAGCCCACTGTTTTTCATGTTTGTATTCAGGAGACGCCATGACAGACATGTTGTGGAGTGACCCCTCAAAAACATATGGGAAAGACAGCACTGCGGAGAACTACACGTTCAACACCTCCAGACAGATCTCCTACTTCTTCACATACAAGGCAGTCTGCGAGTTCCTCAGAGAGAACGACCTCATTTCTGTCATCAGAGGCCACGAAGCACAGGATGCAGGATACAGGCAAGGGTTCTCATTCTTTATAATTAGTCACCAGCTGAAGCAATGAGTCCAGAAGGTTATCGCGACTATTACCCTGTCTTGACTACAAATTTTGAAAGTCGATGAGTCGTTACTTGAAAATTCAATTCTTGAAATTATATGCGGGCTTAAATCCCAGTAATGTCGTTGCAAATCGAGGAGCCTAAATTGTACATCCCCAAAAAAATTAAGTGAGAGAGGTCTTAAGGAAAAATTAGAGATAACGAAAAAGTTTTTGCGAATGACCAGTTAAATAATGGTTTCTCGAATGATTGTTTTTTGATCGTTTTTTTTTAAAATCAGGAATGAGTCTTACAATGCTCCAAAAACTACAGATAGGCATTCATACATACTTAGGTATACCTGCACTTTTCGAGTTCAATTCAAATTCAGCTGCTAAAGTTTTGGCAAATTGCACTCTCCAAATACGAACGTGGACATGGCGCAAAAAACGTGAACGACTTGAGGTTTCGAATGTAGAATCTCTTTTAGATTTACTAGAGTAGTCAAAACTGTATTTATTGATCTAGTTTCTCAAATGAAGTTAATTTTTATCGAAAAAAGTCAATAATAATTCGTCTTGAAGTTTAAAGAGCATTGAGCGAATAATTTTTACTCTAAAATCGAAAGTTGAAGTTTTTTTGAAAAATTAAGTCAGTTTTTTTCCGTAGCCTTGCGTTTATTGACTCTATATAACTGTCTGTTAGCTATTTTTTCTTTTTCTGATGTATAGAAATTGGCGCTAAGTTTGACTTTACTTTTGTGTAACTAAATAAAATTGATGAAATTTTTTTATTGTCTTAAAATTTTCTCACCTAAAAATGAAAAATATTTGACCTTGAATTTTTTTTGAAAATGTAGTCCAAAAATCACCATGTTGACCAATTTTGGGATAATAAATGCAGTTACAAGGTTTCTAGTAATACATATGATAGACGGCAATTTGAACAAATCTAGCCATTCTAAATTGAAACAAGACTGCTCGTATCAGGGCA